TTATATTCTTATAAATGTAAAAAGACATCATCAATGGCACTTTTTTCATTCTTTTCGACAATGCTGCACCTTCAGTAGTGAATCCCAAAAAGATGTTATGGACATATTCAGTTATAAAATTAATTTTTGTATTGATCGATTGGTAGGTGGCCACCATCATATTCATTTGCCCGTTACCTGGTTACATGGCAGTTAGTTGCACAAATGTTATCAAGTCTTGTACTGTATAAGCGCAGTGTGTTTTTCCCCGGGATGTTTATTCAGTTGTTCTCCAAAAATATTCCTCCAAATGTTCTCCAGGTGTATTGCTTCACGCAGCAACTTAGCCGTCGCCAATGCATTTACAGCGAAAACTACGCGTTTCTTTTTTCGTCTTATTCATACCAATTTGCCTTTTGCGATTACTTTAGTTTCACTTTAAAATACAGTTTTGGTGGTGACGTTTGACAGTCCACAAAATCCACAAAACTTTTACATTTAATGTTATGTGTAATAATAGTTACATGTAATAATAGTAAATATATGTTAGCTGTAACTGTCAAGAGTTTTTAAATTTTATAAGCATTGTGTGACTTGCGAGTCTCACGAAACTCGTCTTATGTACTACCTTCTCGAAAAAGAGAAGGAATAAAGCGTATTCATGGAACCGATTTAAATAGTCCTTCGGCCTTCAAGCAGCATGGGAAACAATTTTGTGAGAAACTTGTGAGACGTGAGAACGACTGGAAAACGGCAACGATAAGAAAACAAGGATCATTGGCATTCAAAAACTCAGCGAAAACCTCGTGGAATACAAGAGAGAATTCAATTTCGAGAAAAGTAAAAATTTATCCTATTCCCAAGCAATTGTCGTTACCATGTAAGCTAAAAGTCTTAAATAATTCCGATGTTTGGTCCGAAAACAACAGAGATAGATAGGAGAATTCTGCCTCTTCTGGTTAATGGAATCAAAGACAATGTAAATTCTGAACGTATTATTTATTACTATTCTTTAGTTAGAGGAAACATATGTGTTACTCAATGAAATGCTAATGATTATACTGTGACGTGCTATTTGACCAACCGAAAATCCTTTTTGTATTACTGATATTTGAAAAACCTTTGATGTAACGAGTACCTAAATTGTTACATTTTCTCCCAATGATTTTAATACTCAAATTGCTTCTGAAATTTAAGACGAGGAAACGTTTTGGTATGCCATGCATCTCCACGTGTAATTTTATTATTTCTGGTTCCCCTCCATGAGAGTGTCCGGGAGATCTCGCAGTTTGTTACCATTTCCCCGAATCTCGGACGTGTCGGTGTTTTTTCTAGATCTTTGGAGATCATACGCGGTTGGTGATCGTCACATTATTCAGTCAGCCCTCATTAAAAGAGTGGGGCCAGAAGAGGGAAAGAAAAGTTCGATTGAGATCCTTGAGCTGCTGCTTCAGCGTCCGCCTGGGAGTGATAATGAAAACCATGGAAGTTACCTGAGTGTTCCCTGAAAGGGGTGCCATTGGCTGTCACGCACGTACTACTCACGATTAAAACTGCGACGGAAAGACGTCAGCACTAGCCGACAGGACTATCTAAATTCGTTCAACTCTCGAGTTTCTTTTCAGAAATTGCTGCCCGGAGGAGAATTCGGTTGCTCTCAGCGGTAATTTCCCGTGGTTTCTCCGATCAACACCACGCGCGATGTTTCCTTCCTCTTCCTTGACTTATCTTGCCTCATATACACTTACACTTATACGCACTACACTATCACACTATCGGGAGGCCAGTCACAAGCTTAGAGCTTGTTGTAGATGGAGCGGGGCCACGCTGGTGGGAGATACGTGGTCGGAAAGAAATCTCGTAAGCAGACTTAGGTCGGCGCCGGATCTCGCCAACCAGTGGGGGAAGATTGCCGACACCTCCCGCGATAGAAAGTGCACTGCACTTACGGAACTAATGACCTTAACAGTTGACGCACACGGAATCACTAACCAGCCAATCTTGTCAGGATCTCCCAGACCGGCGCGGGAGATCCGCAGCGGGTGCGGCGCGGAACGTTCCACGCTGGACGCGGCGGCGGAATCCGCGGGACCGTTCACACCGGAGCGTCAATTATGAATCAGCGTTTGGTGACAGTTTGCCTCATCCGATAAGCAAACGCAAGGGGAACTCGATCCATAGGGGAGCGAAGACTTCCGTCGGCGGACGGACTAACACCAAACTCAAGCGGCAGCGGTCGAAACGCGTTCGACAACGTTCCAAAATTCTCAGGTAATAAAACGCTGCCGCGACGCTCGCCTGCCACCGTGCTCATAAGGCAACACGTGACGCGAGATTTCCACTGCGGCCATTCCGCGTAGGCTGCGTGTCTTCCGCGCCGCTCTGTGGGAGCCTTTATTCAGTATGGATTGTCAAGAAAATTTCTTACTGACTACTTCGCATGCGTGACGAGATCTGGAATTTTTTATTCTGCGCTAGATTTATCTCTGAACGACACTCGGCTCCCCATTGACAATAATATTTCTCTGCCACGTCCGACGAAATATTGTTCCTCGCCTTTGGCGATAATGCTAAGATATATTTGCCTCTGTTTGCACTGTGGAAAAAAAGAGCGTAATTGTTTATTAGAAATGTACGTTTGATTTCTCTCTTTGCAATATGGATCAGAAACTACCTATCAGAGGAGTCAATCTAGATATTTTATCTCAAAAAGGGACCACGTATTCTCCGATTTCACATTCCGGCACCTGCTTCAGATCGAACCCGCAGTCTTTATTACCGGCGCTCCTGATTATCACGATTGCGGTAACGTCCGTAGCTACCAACACGGGTTCATTTGAAATGGATCGTTCTGAAATTCTCTGAACGGACCGGTCCAACCTCCCGGCGCCTGTCACACGGGATCACCGTGCAAGCTACGGCGGTATTCGTGATCCGATACACCAGCACACGTTTGACGTAAAATATTTTTAAGAATGTATGAGAGCATTTTTTCACCAAAGCGATGCTCATCGTCAGATTATCCAATATCTGTATTATGCATACTAGATGAATTACTGCGATTAGATTCCACACCAGAACAAAAAATAGCAAAGTTCCAACAGAAATGTGTAAGACAACGCATTAGGATAATCGCCCCCACCCCCCCATTTCTTCATGTCGTTGAATACTTACTCTCCACGACTAATTAAATGAGAGAAATTTACAAATTCTGGAACAACACAATATTCCTTGTGAACATAGAAGAATGCATATTTATGAAAATGCAATTGATATGTTTATAATTTAATTTAATAGGTAATTATTACAAAAAAATTAGCTTACTTGATTCTATGTGGCTAGGCCGAAGGCCTTTAAGCCATTACAATACCTACATCCTTTCGCGTTCTGATCTTTCGAATTCTGGTATTCACCGCAAATGGTCTCTCCATCGCATCAAAGACGCGGAAAAGAGACCATAAGATACGGTATGTTTATATCTACCAAGGTCGGCACTTGCGTGTTGTAATCGACTGTAGCAGGAAATCCTGCTAACACCTTCATTTAAAACGTACTGTATCAAATAAAATGATAATCATTAATATTATTTTGCAAAGAAATGCATGTGGCAAACGATTGCTGGACATGTAGAGACACTCAATGATTTTTTGCACTTACAAACACTGTATCTTCAAATTAAAATCTCGCTGTCGTAATTTCCTTTAGAATAATTTCACAAGCACACACGCCTAATAGCACTCACGACTTTGTTGCAACTCACACACCCAAACGGCTTAATACACAAATGACGCAGATAAGCGCTCGTCCGGTGTTGTTTTTACTTTGTCGCCCTTACTTCGGAAGAAGAGAGAGATTTGTAATCAAGCGCCATAATACGACAAATTTTCAACAGAAAAACTCTTTTTACCTGGGCCTTGATAACGAAATATTCGATAACGATTGTTCTTATATATATTAAATTACTTCTAGTATGTGGTGTAGCCACAATCCATGTTTACTGGATTCTTGATGCCGAAAAAGTGATTGTCAGCAAAACGTCTGACGGGTTGTGTCAACGCTACTGCCTAAACTTTTCAGCCTATTTTCTCCGAAATTGACATTCCTCGATGGATTTAAAGAAACTCGATGCATTACAAGTTTGAAACGGATATTTTTGATTTTTGGGGGCTACTGTATATTGCGCTTCAAAAACATTTTCAAACTCTTCTCCAAAATGATTCCAAACATCGTCCTTGGATAGTGTAAAGGATGCTTAAAAGAATGGTGCAGGTGTCATATTCGTTGAAATCCCTTACATAACAGTTATGTTACTTTCTATACTTCGAATATTACTCTGTGTAATGCCTACGTACACGCGGAAGAAAAATCACTAAGATGGTCTTGCGCGATTGCCTAATGAAGAAAACATTCCCTGTGATCCAACACTACCAATGGACCAGTTGTAACGCTACGAGTGGCTGATGCGTCGCGCAAACACCTATTGCTTTCTTTGCCCGCGCCACATCAGAGGTACCATACGTTTTCAAGAACACATTGTAAAGAAATAAATTTTTGAGGTAAAAATGTTACGTTCATGAAATTACGAGATTCAAATTAGAGAATTTCTTACATGGAATTTCTGTCTCCAGTGTTTGGTTAAAAAGGGCATTACCGTTTTTCCTTCTCTCAACTCTCTAAACCGTGGCTAAAGATAAGAAGAAAAAAATTGAAACGGATTGAATATAAAAGGATTTTTTTGTTTTGGTTTATAATTTCCTCATAAATAAAATCTCAATGCTTCAATTGGGGCAAATTAATTAACAATAATGATGACCGTAAAGCATAATGATGATGTTGATGATGCTGATTTTATTTATGGAGAAGAAAACATTAATCTGAGATATATTACGAGAAAATTAGCCATAAACCTTTTTTTGGCCTCCGAAAATCACTAATGAACTCGTCGCAATTCGAAATTCAATGCCAATGCTGCAGTTCTTTCAATCGCTGCACCCTTGGGAATTTCCGATGCACAAATCGCAATGCAACATGAAATGATGACAGCACCCCGGTCTACTTGTAGGGTGCACCAGACGTCACCGCCTCCGCTGTCACTGTTCACGCCGCATCCACCACCGTTCCCACCTCTGACCGCGACCCTGTTCCGCACCCCTTCCCGCCACATCCCCCATCGCCACCGCCGTCTTCCAGGCATTCTCACCGCCGGCGCCGGGGGCTACATCGCCATAGCAACCCTCCGTAATGATTCGGGCGGAGTGTTGGCGCTGCGCGGAGGCGGAGAGAGAGGGCGGGGAGCGCGCAGTGGGCAGCTGCGCAGCGCCGCCGCCGCCGCCGCCACGCGCTGCCAAAGAGACGCAAATAGCAGCACCGGCGCGTGCGGCCCCTCCCCTCCCCTGCCCTCCCTGCTCCGCTCCTCACATCCACCGCCACGCGCGGAAGCTGTCTGTGCCCAGTAAGGTCACGTCAACTTCGCTTTGAGGTTCTATGCCTGGACCACCCCTCGTCAATATTTGATTTCCTGTTATTGTATTTCATCTAAAGGGCTACGCGAAGACCACAATCTACAGACAGTCTCGCCTCCGAAGGTGTTCATCCTCTTCTGATCCATTCCTCTGAACGCACGTGGTTTGAAAATTCGTTACAGTAACGTTCTAAACAGTCCCAGAGAATACCTTCCGGATTTATAAAGTTGCCTGATGTCTAGTGTCATTATGCAAACTAATATGTTTCCCTCAACACAACTGATCTGAACGATTTCAAATAAAAATAATTTTAGAAATTTTGTATGTAGTATACTACACACAAGTACTCAAGAGAACTTTCTCAGCTCTCATACCGGTTGCTAATTCTATGAATTCCGGCCCTTTCTAAAGGCCTGCAAATTCCAGACATACGCAGTATATGAGCGGTGTCCAATAATACAAACTTTCGCAGTATGCCAATGCTAGTCTCGTATCAACACGTAGGGTGCTATGATGTTTCGTCATGTCTCTAGTTTAGCCAGTAGAGCCGCAATTGCTTCTGAAATCATCCTGAGTCTCCGTTTCCCGACTTTCCAGCTCTATCAGAAATTTACTGTATTTCTTTTTTTCGAAATCCAAACTAAACAAATAATAACCAACCCAAGAACTGAGGAATTCATTATATTACGTCCTTATTAGCAGTAAGGCTCAGAGCAGATAGTGCCTGCTCTTCCATTCAAGTGTATCAGAAAATCGAATAAATAACGAAAATTAACTGTGGCTTGCGCCTCGTCACTAATGAAACCTGATTTACAGTACTAATTTCCAATGCACGCACAAAATTGAAAATAGGTTGGTTGATGTTTGATCTCGATTGGTTGATGTTTCCCGGCACGTAAACTTCGATATTAATTAGTCCGGTGAGAATAGTGAATGCTTTTTAAGCTTGGAGTTGGCGGTGTTCTATGTGATGATTAGTTGGTTCGATGGTGAGATCTGGCTCTGACCTACATCCCGGCTTGCGGGGAATTTTTTCTCCGGGTATCTCCTCGAGCGGAGCACCGCTACAGCCGAGGCAAGTCCTAAGCTTCTGACTGATCTCCCGACAATCATGTGGTAATGTGATGTATGTAAGTTTGTGGAAGGCGAGAGGATAGGACAAGGAATAACAAGTTCGCAGTCCTCGGCTAATTTGTTCAGGTTCTTCTCAGTATTCACATAGAAATCATAGGAGAAACCACAGAGACTTACCGATCAGAGCAGCTGACCCACAGAATTCTCCTCCAGTCAGCGACTGAATTCGACCTAGCTCTTTAACTAGTATAGGAAATCAGGCACCGTCAGAGTTGGATGTCGTTGATTTAAAATTACTATGACAACAATATTAGAAATTCTTTAATGTAATATTAAAAAAAATATATTTTATGCAAGTAAGACTTATTTTAATTTATTTTTCATACGCTCGGTGTAGCAGGGGAATTGTGTTACTGGATGAGACTTCGTTCGCGGACGTGGAGATTTGTGTTTATGCCATTTCGTCACTGGCGTCTAGGCTAACCGTTCACCATTCGAGACTTATGAGGTGTCTTTCGCCGTGTCTCGGTCTCCTGATTGAGAACTGCTAATTTGTTTTCGAATCTCGCTAGAAGATTTAAAGAAATTTTTAAAAACCTGCTTTTTCGTGTTTTGGCGTTGCGATCTTAGTGATAAAGCCAGGAATTAAACCAACGCCGCGCCTTCTAAATTGATCTATGTAGGTGGCGTTGATTAAATACCAGAACCCAAAGGTATTGTTTACTTAATACGCCATAATTTTCTTTCACGAAGTTGGCAACACTGATGATGACATTCAAGTGAACAATTGAATTACCAAGTAAATCGCGCTGCAATTAGATATCAATTTAGAGTCGAATTATTATTGTATTTTTTAAAATAAATTTGCGAATACCAACGAACAGTATTGCCTTGGAACTTACTGAACTTAAAGAATTTCATGAGAATATGGAGAAAACAAAACTGTGAGTAATGCTAGACAATGATTGAACGTTATGTTCTACATCGCACTTTTGCATAAATGCATTCTTACATAAATGCATTTTTCTTATTTATTTTTTGATAGTGCGAAATATGCTTATAAAAATGACACAGCTCTGATTTTCCTTGAACCTACCTAGATTTTCCAAAACTGAAATGTTAAAAGCAATGCGAGAAAGTGAGTTTTGTTGGAGCACCACTAGTTCACATTGTTTAGCACCACTTTTCCGCAGAACATTTATCACTATCAACTGTCTTCGGGAAAAGCTTGTGAATTTCTTTGCTGTCCATCGCGCAAGCGACAGGGTCTCACGTCGAGACGGTGATCAGTAGGGAGAGAACAGCAGGGACGATGCGCGACGTTAGCAAGCGGTGAAGACACGCACCCGCCAACCTTCAGTGCAGTTAGAGTTGCCTAAATCCCAGGAGCGCCCTATCAGCAATTACACGTGGGTAACTCGTTTATTTGAGATTTCTCGCACTCCTGGACATCCGCTCGCACTCCTGGACATCCGCTCGCACTCCTGGACATCCGCTCGCACTCGTGCTCATCCACCCCCACTCTTGCACATGACTCTCGGGTTCGTGCACGTATCTCTGGCACTCGTCCTCGTACCAGTCGCTCGTATGCCCAGTAGTCTTATTAGTATTTTCAGGCGTACTACGAAAGTCCAAACAAGTGGGAGTCCCAAATAATATTAAAATATTTAACATGTGTAACGAAAACCAGTACAAAAATACAACTAGATCATTCCAATGCACAAAGTTCATATTTAAATGATAAATAGAAATATATATAATATAGTATTATCAAATTCGTGTACATGATAGTACAGAGATTTTTTCAAACAAATGATAATTTTTGTGCAGTGTTAATAAAATAGTTACCAATACAATTAACATTTAACTCATATTCATTAACTACTTAATACACATTTTGTTTAAAAAGTATCTGAGCTCACTAAGAACATTCTTTGTCTGCTCATGTACTAATCCGCCCCTTTCACTCAACCATTCGCACTTCTACTCTGCTAATTGCTCTTCTAAGCACTCGAAAATCGTTTGTACGATATAGGCGCTAAGGTTGTTTGCGGGCAGCTGTTTAAAAAATCCTTATCTCGGTATTACGGCTTTCAAAAATGTGCTACAGTTCCATCATAATCTCGTCAGCGATTTTGTCACGGTCAAAGAGAAGGATAAAAATTAAGAAAATTAACAAACTTATCAAATCATTGAAACGTGTTAAAATGTATATGAAATATTACTCGTAGTATAATGTAATGAAACGTATTTTTTATTCTGTTGCGCCTTTTCTAGAATTAATGACTCTTGGCCATCTATTAAGCATCAAAGATATGGAGTAATCCTGCGTTGAAGTTTGCCTTGTCTCGTAGCGTCGCAGTCAGCCTTTTATCCTTTCCTCCAGGAGATCTGTGCAGTTAGTAGCCGGGGCTCCCAGATGCTCACCCACCCAGGAATCCGTGGTGTCTCGAATTGCATAACTTCCGTGTCTTCATGGAGCGTAGCTATGCCATTTGACTAACGTCTAAAATGAGGCACTTTCACTTCTCATGTATGCATTTTCAAAAAATATGTGCATTTTTCATCCAGCATAATTACAAATCGATTTTATTATTTATTTCAGAAATGCACCAAAGGAAGAAAGTGTTTTGGAAACCAGTAGAGAGAGGCGTGAAAGATGGGTATCAATTTACGTAATATATTTCACAATGTTTCTCATGTCTTTGGGATTCAGCAGCATTCTAACCGGGGTATGGCCATATTTGGACAAGGTAATATTATATGTCATTTGGGTATCAATTTAATGTTGTTGTTTTTTTTCAATCAAATGTAATTTGTACGAGTTATCAAAAAAGAACTATTCAAACATAACTGTTTTTATAATTAATTGGTTCTTGAGATGGTTTATCATAATATTCTTTTTCTTCTTCCAAATTTATTATTTGCTCAAGTAAAAATTTAAAAATGGATAAATATTATGCTAATAGAATTTCTTGAAAATATTTTTAATACATAGTTTACCGAAAAAAATTTTAAATTTGTAGCTGGATCCTGGAGCTGGAAAAGAATTTATGGGCTATGTTGTTGGAGCAAATCCTTTAGGCCAGATGTTGTTCTCTCCCCTTGTGGGATGGTGGGGCAATTATTTGGGGTCAATACGCATTCCGTCATTATTTTCCCTGGCTCTTTTTACTCTTGCCAGTGGAATTTACTCCACACTTGAGTTGTTTCCTTCTCATCACAAATACTGGATGTTAGGAGCCCGTTTTTTAGTTGGTGTAAGTTCAGGTAATTTTTTTCTAATTATTCTAATTAATGCTTAATGATTCTAATGATACAACTGCAATATTTTAATTAAAATTTAATATACCCAAAACACTAAAAAAGTACATTTTTTCAGCCAATATTGCTGTATGTCGTTCCTATTTGTCAGCTGCTACCACTCTAAAAGAGAGAACGGGTGCTGTATCAATGGTTTCTCTTGCTCAGGTTTTAGGTTTTATTGTGGGACCAGGTAAGAATGAAGAAACGTTAGTAAGTGACCATTGAATATTGTATAATAAAATCTATTGCATTACATAATATTGTAAAATATTATATAATAAAAAACATTGAATAATAAACTTTTTCTGTAAAAAAATTAATTAAAAATATGTTTTTAAGCATTACAGGCAGCAGTTACCAAGCTGGGAGATGATGGAGTGGAGATTATTCCAGGTCAACTCACGCTTAACATGTATTCAGCAGCAGGGTGGATGAATGTTATAATGAGCATAGTTAATTTCATAATGTTTTTACCCTTTGTATTTATTGAACGACCGATTGCTGCTAGAGAAGCAATGCTTAATCAAGGAGCTGAATCAGGTATATATATTTTTCTTATTCTGTTCTTCTTTTCACCCCTTCCTAAATACTTGCCTATTTTTCTTCATTTCTACCAACCTACCTACTTATCTTCCTTCCTTCCTTCCTATCTACATATATTTCTTCCTGCCCACCTCTCTACCTTCTTACTATTCCTTCTACATTGTTTTCTTTCTTGAATTATGTCTATAGTTCAGCAAAGATGATAGGTACAACCTAATTTCTAAATCTGAATATTTTAGAAAACATGTGAAGTGTTCTTCTAGGATATTTACCATTATGGCATATTTATTTTAAATGCTTCATCTATTTTCAGAAGAAGCAACATGGAAAGATAATAAACCAGATTACATATCTACTTGGACACTCATTAGTGCCTTTTTTGTTCTTGTCTTTAATTTTGTATTACTTGAAACGTAAGTATTTTTTAAAGTAGAGATTCAACCAGATTTTTCTGTTTGTTGGGGGAGGAATTTAAGGGGTGGTGGCAAGATAATATGTTTGAAACTTGAAACTGAATTTAAAATTTAGTTTTATTTCTTACTTTCTCGTATGCATACGTATGTACGGAATAACGTACATAGTACAGAGAAAGGTATGAAATGCTACTGCAAAAAACGGCGATTTTTTATAGTTATTTATAACTTATTCAATCGAGATATTGATTGGCTCTTTTGCAGTACTACAGAACATAAGTAAAAACTAGACTAATAAATGTGTTTTTGATTTCTGGGGGAAGGTAAAGTACAAGGAGATCAGTCAAACCTGGTTGCGCTATTGTTAAAAGACATTATACAAACGTATACAAATTATTTAATTATGTAATTGTGTGTTCAGTGAAAATGCATTAAATAATTGTTTCCAGGTTAGGAACATCACTTACTATGGATCAATTTGCTTGGTCAAAAGAAGAAGCTGTGTATTACATGGGAATACTAATGTCTGTAGGTGCTGTAATAGCTTGTGTGACTTTCGTAGGAATCGGTCCCTTGTGCAAAAGGTGAGCAACAAAACAATACAAAAAATATTAAGAAAAAATATATTCAATAATCATGTGTATATAAATTGTATTCATATATTGAATATTCATATACATGTTATAATCAAATTCATAAATTGTCTATTCATATACACTATGATATTCATTACAAAATACCCCACTCAAAATAACATAAACCTAAAATGAACCAAATTAAAATAAATAAAGAATAAATCAATTTTCTTAAATGCAAAACTGAATCGGAGGTCTTGAATGTCATAAATAAATTAAATAGAAGCCAGTGGGAGCTCCACAAGTGCATCTTCATCACTAAATAAATTGGGAACTAGATAGCTAACCCTTTAACTTTCATTTTTATCAAAATAATAGATATTCGCATGTGTAATTGTCGCTTCAGAAAAGATTATTCCCATTTAGGTAAAATTTGGTGGTAAATTGGAAGCAAATTTTAAACCTCTAGGAGTAACCAAACAAAAATGACGATATGAAATAAAATTCCGACATTAATAATTCATGACCGTCTCAAAATGAAGAGTGCCGCAAATTGCAATCAAGGGATGCCTTCCTGATGTTGCTGTGAAATTTCTCAAAACTCCCTATCCAATTCTCTAACCCGAAGTTCACTTCATCTACCGAAGTCTCATCTCATCTCACCCGCCGTGAAAACTACTAAATTACCACCAGATGTTGTTCTAATAGAACCAAATAATGCTGTGATTTCATAGTGAATTTTATTGCTTATGAGGATGATCTATCCCAAAAAACTTTTTCAGCAGCTTAACATGAACCTTAACACCCTCCTTAATGCATAAGTTATAAAATGCAAAAACAATCTTGCTACTGTTGCTATTATTGCTTACTACTGTTGCTTAAAAATTAACGCCACAAAACTCAGGAAATGATGTTACGGAATATCATTATTATCCAATTTTGAAAAATATGTATTCTAGAAAGTAATACACTACAGTATATACTTACCTTCTTCTGACTTGCCAGTATTAGACCTGAGGTCTGTTCTGAATTCACCTCTTCCTTGGTCTTCCAACACTTCGTTTGCTAAGTTTCATTGCTTGTTTTGAAATCCTTTCTGTTGGCACACAAAGGATTTGCTTCTTCCGTTTTTATTTATGATACTGTGGCAAAATAAGATGATTTTTCGACGGGAAAAACTCGTATTTTGAATCTCTGATATTGGAAACGGGGATAAATCTTACTCCAAAATGAAGTAAATTACTTCCTCTATCTGGTTGTGTAGTCAGATATCAACACTTGTGGATCCTTGTAACCGAAAAATTGGTTTATGGTAAAACATCCTTCCGTCCGTACACTATTGCATTTGCAAGCACAAGATTTTCAAATAATGTCTCTTAAAATGTATCAAAACTTAAGTTTTCTGTGAAAAGAGCTAGAAATGGCGCATTTCCAGAAATGTTCAAACGCCATTTTCGTATAAACGAACGGTTTTCATACTACGTTACTAGTGGAGCAGGCAGTGCTTCGCTAGTGGAATGTATGATACTTCACACGCTAGTGTCAAGTGATTGTTAATTACGTTACACTACACTCTGCAAACATTTTACTTGATGAAATCGCGATTATGGGTTTGCTCTATGTTCTGGTTTGGACATGGTTGTCAATTATCCTATTGTTAAAACTTTCCCCCTCAAGTGTAGGTATGCATTCTCTATGACACTGCCTTGGAAAAATTTGATTTACTTGTCAGAAATAACGTTCAAGTAATGTTTCTGGCCGATATTGCAAGGGCATTGCTATCGCATGGGGCAAAATATGCAGCTAAGACGTGCTTAATTCTTGAAGTTGCGGCGGGTTGCGTAGTTCAAATTGGTTGAATTGGCATAAACACATAAAATTTTCAACAACGCCCCCGTTTTGCGTTTATGAGTGACAGCATACGCACATTTCCATTGTGCATATATTCTTCGCGCAAGTTCGACCAATAAGTTGAAAAAGTTTTATCGCACTCGAATAAATGATACGCAGCACATAAAACACAAACAAATAAAGAGGCATTGATTTTTATATTTTAGTTTGTGAGTAGAAATGCTTCAAATGTTTTGCAAATACGTTTTTTGGAAACTCTTAAGTTGTCTGTGAAAATCAGCTTAAAATTTTGCATTATCAGAAAATCCCAAACTATTTTTTTCAGAATCGGCTTCAAATTTTAAATGAAAATTTGCTTATAGGACCAGGTTTACTCTCCTATAACATTATTAAATATCTATTTCAATTCCACAACTGGGGGACTGAAAGCTTGAGGATACGTGAAATACTGCTTACGCAGTATAGAGAAAATAAAGTATAATGCTACGGGAGAAAACCGCGAATTTTCGACAGAAAAACTCTAATGTCATACCCTGGAAAGAAAAATGAATAAATCTTGTGTAGTAAATTACCTATTAAAACCTATATGTAGTAAATTACTTTGTCTAACACGTTGAATAGCCAGATTCTTCGTTTAGTGGGTCCTGAATACAGAAAATCGATTGACGTAATACCTTCTGTATGCGAACCACTCTTAGCCTGAATGATCTTTCCCCATCAATCTCTTCCCTTCCCTCCTTCGTATTTACAACAGTTATCGAAACCCCTTCTCACACTTCGTAGCAGCGAACATATTTTTTTAATAACCCCAAAGAGTATTTAATTTTAAATTTAAAATTGTGTCATTTGTATCTCTTTTTAGATTTCCTGAACGAAAGGTTCTACTTTGGGGAGGATTTTTCCTTATGGTTGTAGGAAGAGCCCTTTATATCCCTTGGGGACCTTCCCCACCTCAAATAGCAGAAACTCAATCAGGTAATTATCTTGTCTTTCTTCAAATTTACACTCTTTCAACAAGATATGAAAAGGTCAGGAGTTTAGATGATAAGGCATTAACATCACAGTTGTTGAAATTCTGCATTATTTTCAGAGAATAAAGGATGACCAAGATAATAGCAACTATCAATAAGTGTATACTATTTAGTTAATAGAGACCAGTTCTCATATAATTTGTAGATTTCATTGCAAATGGCTAAATGTTTAATGTTCCAACATGATGAAATTGCCTCTAAATGGCAGTTTGTAATTATTATTATTATCATGCTAATTTACTAAATTTCTAATAAAATATTTGTAAATTTCACATTATAAATAATTACAAAAATATGAAAGGATTTTGACCCTATAAACCATCACAATAAAGTAAGAAAGTTAGTATGTTTTGGTATAACACAATAATTTTTGTTAGTAAGAAAATTTACAACACACTGCATTTTAGTCTCATTTGAATAATCATAATTGTGTACTTTATTGTAACTAAGACGTAAAAATCCTGCTTATACATTTTAGTGTGCCTATCTGATACTGCCAGACAAACATATTCAGGCTTACAAAAATTACTTCACTTCCATCTGTTATATAATCAGGGTCTCAAGTTTATGAAAATTCATGGCCCAAATACATATGGATTTTTCAGATAAGGGTTATTCTCTAAATCCTCTCTCAAGGAAGCTTTTTATATACTCTGCAGTCAAAAAAAAATCCCTGAGTCTTATTTTGCTCAGTAATGGGCAGGCAGGGTAAACATTTTAACTTTTAAACCAATATTCATAGTGGTAACCTAAAATTTAGGTTATCATACAGAGAAAGTGACAAATAATTACACCTTCATAACATTTGAACAAAGTTATCAACATCAATGGAAAAAAGCATGTCAATTTTAGCCTCAGTGTAAATTTATTGTTTACACTCAATCCACTCTTAAATAAAACATCCTTAACACACAGTAGCAGGGGTAAATGACAAAAGAGAGCAGTATTATATGCATTGTGCTAGTAGAATAAAAATAATTTACAGACACAAGCACTTCTAATTATTTAGAAAGTCACAATTTAAACTCTACTAGTCAACTGAAAGTTTCAATCATAATGAGTTCATTGTGTATCAATTTTTAATCCAGCTAATACTTCAAAAATATCAGGAACTATTTGATACTGTAAAGAACATTTCTTTGATACAATACTGGATACTATAGTATTTTGAAATTCTTAATAATGAACAAACATTGAGTACAATTATGTCAAACATGAAACTCTCACAAACAGCTAAGTGAAGATATTTTTTGGGAAATGCAGTGCACTTACCTGCATCTATGTGTATCTCCTCATGTACCTGCCAGCCTATCATGTACTCCTGCTGGTATGCACATTACAATTTGTGAAGCTCTTCTGGAGCACAGTTCGTGGCTCAGTATCACTATGGTGTTTGTGATCACATCGAGACATTTGGCCTTTAATATTATTGTACAGTTCCAGAGAAAGAATCATGGACAATAGCAAATTATCATGGTCAGGTTGAAATTTTTTTTTCAAGCTCGAGAAAAATGCTGGTACTCTGTGAAGAATTTTGTTAAAACAAATTTCCAAAAAATAAATTAAATATATAGTGATTTTAATTTTCTTTATTCTATAATTGTATCATTTTAATATTTCAAATAAAATTTTAATGGTCTTCTTACTTAAAATAAAACACCACAAGTGAAATAATGGTATTTGGCTTGAATATTTAATTTCATGTCTTTCATTCACTTTTATTTCAGATGATCTTAACATCTCAATTACAATGACAAATGGGACAATCATAAATTTCAATCATACTATTAATCTCACTTTGAGCTTGGGTTGTCCATCAATTCAAGAATGGTGCTATTATACACCAGCAATGACGATTTCACAATTTTTACTTGGATATGCTTTAACAGCAGTTGGATATCCCATTGGAGTGACGTTAATACAAACTATTTTTTCTAAAATCTTAGGACCAAGACCTCAGGTTAGAGATATAAATACTTTCAATACAACAGGTTTCTAATAAATACTTTGTTTTAATGTTTTATAATTGATCAATCAAGAGCAACAGTCATAATCATCACTGTTGCTACCACTGCCGCTTCCCCTCACCTCCACCTTACCACTACTAGTATCAGAACTGTTAAACCCATCACCAACACCACCAATGCCTCTTCTAACACTAGAACCACTAACCCCTCTACTACCTCTACAAGTACACACAACACCATGTTCTCCATCACAACCACCACCCCCCTACCCCCAACCCACACCCAACACC